GCCACTCCCAAAGAAACCCTCACTTGATCCAAACACACTCAAGAATTACCGCCCAGTCAGCAACCTCTCCTTTCTCTCAAAAATCATAGAAAAACTCATACTCTCTCAGCTCTCTGACTATCTTCACTCTCGCAATCTCTATCCTTCCTCTCATTCCGCCTACCGACTTGGTCATAGCACAGAAACAGCACTGGTCCGAGTCATGAGCGACCTCGTGCGCGCGATGGACGATGGCAAACTCTCTATTCTCACTCTGTTAGATCTCTCTGCTGCATTTGATACCATTGACCACCAGATTCTTCTTGACCGCCTTCATCTTTCTTTTGGACTTACTGGCTCAGCTTTAAACTGGTTTCAATCATATCTTTCTGACAGAACTCAAACAGTCTCTATTTCCAACCGCTCTTCCAAACCTTCAGCCCTGTCTATTGGAGTTCCTCAAGGATCGGTCCTTGGGCCGGTCCTTTTCATCCTCTACACTAAACCTCTATCATCTCTCATTAGCCACCACTCAGTTTCCAGTCAATCGTTTGCTAATGACACTCAAATCAGTGACTCTTGCTTTCCTGATCAACTTGATGCCACAATCCTTCGCATACAGGAGTGCGTGGACGACGTAAAGCGTTGGATGACTTGCAACAAACAGCTAAATGATGATAAAACAAACATCTCCCTCCATCCGCTTCTTCTTCTATATCTATTGGCAACTCTGACATCACACTCTCTTCCTCTGCCAGAAACCTTGGAGTCACACTTACAAACACCCTCTCCATGGACAAACATGTCATGAATATATGTAGATCAGCATATAACGAAATTAGAAAAATCAGCACCATTAGACACCTCCTCTCCTTTGATGCCACAAAAACTCTCGTCTCTTCGCTCATTCTTTCAAAATTTGACTACTGTAACACTCTTCTCGCAGGCATTCCTCAACACCACATAGACAAATTTCAGAAGGCACAGAACTCAGCATGCAGACTCATTTTTAAATCAAAGAAACATGACCACATTCAACCACACATGCGGCAACTCCACTGGCCCTCACTTTCCTGTCTATCTCTCTGAACTGTTGCTTCCTTATATCCCCACAAGACAACTACGCTCTTCCATTGACAATAGAACCCTCTCAATCCCAAGAACCAAAACTAAGACCATCGGTGAACGCTCCTTCTACTTCCATGGGCCCACGTTCTGGAACCAGCTCCCCTTCCATATCCGTCATTGTGAAACCTCGTCCACTTTTAAAAAGTCCCTTAAAACCCATCTGTTTAGGTCCGCCTATGACCTGTGATGCACCCTCCTTGCCCTGCCTCATTTTCTGTCTCGGGTTGATCCTGTAATATAGGCCAAAACGTGCCAAAGTGTCCTCGTTTTATAGCCATTTTAATTGTTTCTATAGTATAGTAGTTACTATCCTAATGTCTCATTTTTATTTTAGTTAGTTTACATGTTTTTAATAATTGTAAAGCGCTTAGAGCTTTAAGGTAAGCGCTATATAAAAATGCCTAAATAAATAAATAAATAAATATGGGTCAAGACCTGTAATTTTTTTTTTTTACCCCCCCCCCTACCCGCCCCAGCCCAAATCCCTTAGATGCTCTAAACATAAACAATAAAAATAAATTGAATGACCCTGTATATATTTAATTTATTTAAAGAATGAATGCAATTATAGTTAAACAAGAGATGGGACCAATTTATTGTTCTAAAATGGGAGGCTCTTTATGTTGACGATTCAGAACACCACACAACTTTTGTGATACCAAAACTAAATTCACCCAAACAAAGCCACGCTTTAAATCAATACTGTAAGACGAGCGGGAACGAAGTGACCTCCCTTGAATTTTGAATAAACTGCCATCACCTGCCGTTGATAGTCCTTAACGTGAGTTCGAAAGCATCTTAACAGAGTAGGCACGGCATAAGTAAGTGTGTGTAGTCGTATTGTATATGTGTAAGTTCTGTATGTCATGTTTAGTTGAGTTAGTCTTAGTTGTGTTGATTCGGATAGGTTTGTAAGACATATTTAGTTAAGGTGAGCTTAAATTCTTGAAAGATAGTTCATTAAATTTTTAACAATATAAAATTGGAAGAAAAAAGCAGTCATACACATCTTTTGACGTTGGTGAACTCTTAAGTCAGGTCAGATTAACAAAGCTAAACGCAACACAGGCGACAATACAGCAATGTAAACAACCATACATTTCCACGTAATATTTCAATTACTTTTATTTGAACAACAATTTTTCGAATTATTATTTTTTTAAAAAATTATTTCGTAATTGAAATATTTTTAATTTTGTTTTTCATTAGAATGAATGAATTTGTTTTAAAATCACATTTTTGCACAATGTAAATTTAAACCCTCTTGTATCGCGATAATACTGGCATTTTGTGTCAAGAATTCACATCACATTTAACATTTGACTTAGCCAATTGAACCCAGAAAAAGATTCAGGATTTGATTTAGCTACGTGTAACCAGCAATTACATCAAACATTTGAATTAACTAACTGTAACCAGCAAACACATTCATCATTTTACCTAGCCAATTGCACCTATCATTTGCCTTACCTAAATGTAACCAGGCAATGATATTCTGTAATTCCCCTAAGATAAGTCTAACAGGCAATGTTATCCTGAAATAATTCTAGATAAGTCTAACAGGCAATCATATTCCTCAATGGCCCTAAACAAGACAATGACAACCCGTAAAAAAACACCATAGCTCATTGTACCATACGATAAAATCACCCAAATCATATGTACCAAGTAGTGAGATCTCAAAAAAACTATTGCTAAATCTACCAAGCAAAGACACCGCTACATGAATCGAGATATGTGTACCCCCCACGGCAACACACCCACTCAGCCCTAGGACTTTGTTATAGACGGTCACATGCCATTAAATACATCTTATTTTGTGAACCAATCGATTAAATGTCACGTGAACCCTAGATACATGTACCGACCCTCCTATGACACTGTCCAGCAAGTACTTACTAAAAACGCATAAGGCTCTCAATAGCAATGTGATGATATTTTCATGTTTAAACTTGCTGAATGTATCAATTCTATGATATCATTTATATGATATAATTCTCTAGCGATGCTGATTTTACCAAGCAATGAAATTCCATAAAAAAATAAGCAATTTTTACCATTATATTTCTATTCCTCAAAAACCGTATGTTTTATGTCATGAGATCATATCTATGAACAAGAATACCTAAATATGACAAGATATAAGCATGGCTCTATGATCCATGACGGGTTAACGCAAAACTTATAAATTTATGAATAATCATTCCCTCGTGTCATGATCCGTGCCTTGATATCCTGTAACCCTAGATCTATGAACCGTTGGTTGATATCCCCCATAATTAATGTATGTACATGAGTTTTAAGTTCCCAAATAACCCTAGCTAAAGGGTACCACGTGCTGATATTCTAGCTTTATGATCTATGATTCTTGTTCCAAGCGTTAAATATCAACATTAACTCTGTGACGTCCGTCCCACAACACACCTACCGGAATATCTCAAAATGTGGCGCCCCAAACATATTTCAAACTGAGTGTACCAAAGTGTTACATTTATCCCACGATATCCCCTGATTAGATGTGCCAACATTTATTCCAAAGCTACCCTTAAATGAATATACCAGGCTGTGACATTCCACAAAATCCCTAATTGAATGTCTCATGCTGTGACATCACAATCTATCCCTAACTGAATGTACCAAGCTGTGACATCCAATGATATCCCTAACTGAAAGTACCAAGCACTGGCATCCACCAATATCCCTAAATGATGGAATAGATAAGGGAATTCGACTATAAACTCAGGTTAACTTTCCACGCCACGGCATCCAACTCTAAATGCAGTCTCAATGTAAACCAGGCCGCAAAGTGACGCTCACGAAAGCATCTGCCAATCGCATCGTGTCATTACTGTTCAAAGGTGCAAGTGTTATGGTCGTTGTTATGTCCTGGCCCTGAGATGGTGCATACACTTCTTAAAGGCTGGATGATCTTTTTTGGTTCCCCATTAGCCATCTTAATGCCTTTATGTAACCTATGTAACTTTATGAAGCGTAGATGGTGCTCTATTTTCCATATAATGCCTTTATGTAAGCTAGATAACTTTATTCACCGATCCCATCGATTCCGCAATCTACTCTCGTATGATAGCCTCCTATATCAGTAGTCGACAAACTCAATAGTCGAAAGCGCCAAAAATCAGCAGCAGGACGATTAAAAAAAATTAGAGAGCCAAATTACTTTTCAAGAACCTGTCAAAAACAATGTTTTTTTTAAAAGTAAAAATAGAATTGTGTTCAAATGGCCGAGCCGCACTTAGTTCGCCAAGGAGTCGCATGGGGCTGGCGAACCGTGATTTCCCAACCCACTGGCCTATATAATGAGGCAGCATCGACATGGCTCTAAAACCATATAACTTCAGATTGATTCTCATTGTTGCGTCACAAAGATTCTGACCTACAAAATATATTTCATTCTGGTTAACATTAATGTTATGACCTTCACCTTTCACAACATGCAGAGGAAAAAAAAACGTATTTAATTTACAGCTAATTACTTCCCCTTATATTTACAACCTCGACACACATAACATGTCTTTTCGAAAAAAAACTAGGCCACGGGTTCTTAATCTTGATACAGCGTTACAACCCCCCCCCCCCCCACACGCCTGTTTTTTTTTCAAAGCATTTCCTCCCACTCCTATCACGACGCCAAATGTTTTCCCCGCGTTTCGATTAAAAATAGCTAATGAGATGCAAATAATCCTGATTTTGTGGCTCTAATCGCACTCCTTCATACTGCCTCTCGCACCCCTAAAGGATGCGGGCACCCCTAAAGGATGCGGGCACCCCTAAAGGATGCGGCCACCCCTAAGGTTGCGGGCACCCCTAAAGGATGCGGGCACCCCTAAAGGATGCGGGCACCCCTAAAGGATGCGGGCACCCCTAAAGGATGCGGGAACCCCTAAAGGATGCGGGCACCCCCGCCTTGTTCAGAACCAATGAACTAAATACGTATCTCCGTTTCACTTACGACTGTCAACCAAGCAATGCTGAATAACAAAGACAACGTATTTGAAAACGGTAACCTAAGGTCCACCTGATTTATTAGCGTTAAATACAGATTATCATAAAAAAATTATCACATCATGTTAAATATAAATTATTTAAAAAAAAAAAAAGAAATCACAGTTATAATAATTTTTTGGGGAGAAAAGATCAAAATAATCAAATTCTTTTCATTCTGACATTCTTTCTTGCAAATGGCCCATTAAATCATCTGCTATCACCCTCTGTTGTTTCCATAACTTAACTCTTGCATACCTTTTTTTCATTTTTTGTTTGTTCTATTCCTTACATCAAACCAATCTCACAGTTCGTTCGTTTTTTTTTTTGCTGTTTTTTTGTTTGTTTTGGTCTTCCTTTACTCACTCACTTTCGCTACAACGTGTCGCCATAATAAAAACCGAGCAGCTTACAATACCACCAGCAGTGAACATTCGACTACGATAATGTTGTCAACTGATATCAATGCAGCTGGCTGTTGTAGAAATTGTAAGAGGAATCTTTGTTGTATACGTACTCAGGCTCGGTCGGTGGCGGGTAGCAGTCAATTTCGTTGCTCTTCCGGTTGCTTATCTTGAGATGATTGGCGAAGTTGTCTCCTCCGTTTAGGACGTGGGGCTTCCCGGTGAGGCCGCCGTTCTGCACGTACGTGTTGTAGCCCTTGGCTGGCGGGTCGTCTATCAGGACCTCGTCGTCGTTGTCGAAGGGCTTGTACATGTAGATGTTGCGCAGGAAGAAGAGGAGCGGTGCGTACAGGATGTTGCTCAAGAAAATGAGAATGTTCAGCCACGTGAAGCCGATGCTCGAGACGATGCTACCGGCGACAATGGGTCCAATGGCGTACGCTAATGAGTAAGAGATGTCGGCGATGGCGTAGACACTTCCGTAAACGCTGGCGTACCGAACGTCGACCAGGTACCCGAGAGTAGGCAGCAGAGCCGTGTCCACTAGTGCGATGCCGAAACAGATGCCCATGATAGGGAAAATTACAGCGAAGTAGGCCGTGGAGAAAGGGACAAAGAAGCAGAAGATGCCTTCCATGGACAAGCCAATCATAGCCATAAGCCACTGGTACTGGGGAAATTTTCGAGCCAGCTTCACAGTCATGTAGACACCGAGTACGTGAGTTACAAAGGACGGCAGCCAGCAGAATCCAATCTGCCACTCGTCAGCACCCATCGTTACTTTCATCCATAAAGAGATGGTTGGTTCAAGGAATGCCAAGGATACGTTGGACATCGCAAGAGCACCGGCTGCTATGGCGATGTAAGGGTCCATCAAAAGCCTGTATATTGGCGTGCCTTTAGGTCTTTCTTCCCTGGTCAACATGGATCGCTCCAAACGAACTGGTTTCATGACCAGGACCATAAGGACACCGTCTATTAAGCAAACGAGAGCAAGAATAACGAACGGAACAGTTTTCCCGCTGAACTCGTACAGAATTCCACCAAACGGTGGCGCGAAAAGGCACCCAAATGAGATAAAAGCCAGAGCGATACCCAGGGATTTTGTTCTCTCTGCTTCTTCTGTGAACCTGTCAGCAATCATGGCCAGACCGGCCGTATCGGCAAATGCCGATCCCAAACCTTGAAGGCTTCTAGCGAGGAACAACACCGCATAGCTTTCTCCGAAAGCGAACACTGACGTAGAAAAAAACATGATCGTCAATCCAATCATCATGGGCATGTCATAGCCGATTCGGTCGATGAGACCGCCTGTGAATGGATTGACACACAGCTGAACTATAGCTTTCGATGCGAAGAGAATACCTATCGCCATGCCTTCGTCACCGTACGATATAGGCGGCGGGGGCACAGGAATTCTAAGCAAGAAAATTCTGTTGTCGTGTTTTTCGGAATGTATGGATGTGTTCGTGGCAAGGACGGCCTGTTCCGGGACATTGACACTGGCCCCATTCTCAAACTCAACGTTCTTGTCCAGCTTGTGGGCCATGACGTAACTGTGCGTTACGCCGATCTGATCGTTGGAAGACTGCGTCACGTTGTAATACCTGTACATGTATGTCGGCTCGTCCTGTTTCTTGTCCCTGGTCAAAAAGTTCGGAATGATGGGCACGATGACCATGTACAGCATGTTGTCCAGAAGAAGGGCGATGCACACAATGACCAGCACCAGGCGCCGTTGAGACTTGGGGTCCCGTATCCTGTCTTGGAAGTTCTGCCATTTGATGGACAGCACGTCCACTACTTTGGAAGCCATCCTCGCCGTGTCTTGAGCTTACTCGTGTGATCTACAGTTCTGTGACCGGTACAATCGAAGAGCGATTCGTCAATGACACGTCGATGTCTTAAAGACTAAGTTCATTTCATCACACATCATTCACTCGAAAGCGATCTAGTAAATGCAACGATTTCAAATGTCCAGCTTGTCCTTGTTGGTCCAACAGCTCTCAGACGTTGGTGGTCCCTTAGGTACTGACCTGAAATGTGATAAGAGAAGAAAAAAAAACGATATCTTTGGTGGAGTGACGTATCGGGAAGAAAGAATAACTCAAACCTCTGACCTCGCCCTTACCAACAGAAGCCACCGTTTACAGCCTAATAAAACCAGAAACCGTCTGCTAATATTCGCCCTCTTTCCCGGAGAGGTCAAGGAATCGTTCCCCGTGGACGGCCCGCTTAATGCAAATATTATGTCCACGGAGATGTGGCAGTCGACTCGCATCTTCGCGTAGGTAATGGATGGCTTCCCAGACTGCCCTGAGCTGACGTTTTCAACACGTGCTAACACCCTGCGTGTTCCTCGCGGGATTAATGTGGCTGTAACGGCTATTTTCTCAGTTACCTGTACAGTGATTCTAAAATTAGAGAGGGTACTTTTTTTTGTACATGAATAATTGCTTCTAGTATAAGTGAGGAACTTGTTTTAGGTAATCTCTTCACAACTTTTCTTTTTCTTGAAAATGTTATGATGGATAAGTTTAATATCACAATAGATAATAGATACAAGTATCAAAATGAACCCATCGCTAGGAATGTAGCCTCGTTACACTTCAAATTTACCTCTAGATTTTAACATGTTAAATTTGACACTCTTTGAAAACTGAAATGACTACCTGTTAAATGTAATATTATCACGTCATACTGATACACCATGCAGACACATAACAGGACTTACCTTTACGTTAGCAAATGATTTCAGGACAAATCGGATTTAGTCTTTCTCTGGACCTACTATAAGCTACGTGCATTAGATATGCAGTTGATTAATAAGAAACAATCGAATTGCCTTACCTTAACAGCTTCTAGCATTCTCTTTGGATCTGAACAAGACGAGGAAAAAACAACAACAACACCGAAGAATTGGCCACGTCGACGAAAAGCCCAATTGATTCCAATATAGTTCAGTCAAGTGAGAAATAGTATTTTTGCGTTTGCGAGTACTAGGGCCAGGGCTTAAACCTGGGAAAACCTCTTATCGTGTTAGGACAAAAGTTTGTTACCGTCTAAAACTTTCAGCCATGTTTGTCCAAGATGCCTACTCGATAGTGTGTCACCCCCCTTCCCTGTTATGGCTTACTGTTCCCATCACCGGGCCCAATATCCCCTTCCCGTGATTGGTTGGTACGGTAGGTAGGCACCGCCTTCATTCTGCGGACACCGAGAGCAGTCGTCTCTCCCCGGGCGACTCACACGTCTATCTCTTGCCTCCCCATCCCCGGTCTTCAGACCCGGCCCCGAATCGATTACCGATCGCGCACGCGCAATCCTACCCGTCAACGCCTCGTGCAGTGGTATCGAATGTTTTGTCAGAAAATACCCCACTACTACCTGGGGTACTCAAGTGGGACAGGGTTTGGGGGGGGGGTATTTCTTGTGTTAAGTAGAACACAACAACAAATGGACCTGTTACACGCATGTCATCCCATTACCATATCTTTGACTTGATGTAAATGTTGTTTTAAAACATAATAGACAGGTACACTATTTTGTCTTGTAGTTAGTCTGAACAGACTATTCAACCACGGTGTCTTTTATTGTATTTTTTCTTTGTGATGTTGTTTGCCTTTTTAGGTTTAAGGACATCTTTTGTTACAGAACATGCTACGAGTGTCATCTTTGAATTTGCCATGATTGATTGAATACTGAAATAGCGCTGGTGTTCATTCTATTTTAGCAGGTTCGATAGTCAAAGAGTGTCGTCATTGTATTGGCCTAGGAATGTCATCAGTGAATAGGTCATGATCCAATAGTCTGGAATGTCATCTTTAAATTGGCAATAAATACAAAGCCTAGGAAATGGCATCTTGGAATTGGCCATGATTTAATAGCCTAGGAATTTCCTATTTGAATGGGCTATGATTAAATACCGAGGAATGTCCTATTTATATGGGCTATAATGCAATAGCCTAGGAATGTCATCTTTGCATTGGCCATGATTCCATAACCGAGGATTGTCATCTTTGAACTGGCTATGAATGAATAGCGCAAGAACCTGCACGGTCGAGAATATTAGACTGGTGATAATTTTATTACCATTTAAAGTGCCCGCCGCTTAATCTTCCTGTAAAGACAGCGTCCACTGTTTTTCTTCTGTTATCTATGTGCCCATTTCTGGTATCTTTTCAACAAAGTGTCCCATTTGGTCTCCTGATGCCCCTGTGTCCGCTTTTGACTGATGTCGTCTCTGAGCACTGCTGATCTCCTGTCATATTTGGGCTCCCTGTTGGCCTTCTGTCATATTGGGGTCTTCTGATGGCGTCCTGTCATATTTGGGCCCCCAGTTGGTCTCCTCTCACATTGACGCCCCTGTTGGTCTCCAGTCCTACTGGGGCCCCCTGTTGGTCTCCTGTCATATTGGGGCCACCTGTTGGTCTCAAGTCTAGCATGCGCCTTGTAAAGTTTGGATCCTCTCTTATCAATCCTTTCCGTCTTTTGGCTCTTTTAGTGTTCCTCAGGTATGTATCGCCCTCGTCACATTAATTCTCTTTAGCATGCCCATTTGTTGTTGTTGTTCGTCCGTCGAGGATCGATGATGACCATCGAGTCGTCCGGTGACTGATGACTTGCGCTAGTGACTTTTGTTTAAAGTGAGGAAGAGTTGCGCGGCGTCAACCTCACTCTCTCGTCAGGCCCGCCATATCCAGTGGCAAGACTCTGTCAAGACGACCAGGGATGGGTACGGTTGCAGGAATTGTCATTGTATGCGCCTTACGGGACTCCAACTCTGGGTTGAATTCAGAGTTTCCTTCTCATAGATGAGTTGCCGACCAAGGTTAACGAGTCTCATCCACCTGGGGTGATGTTTTTGCTTTACCGGGCTTTGGCTGGAATTCAGGTTTGCTCAGTTTAGACCATTCGACCACCCAGTAACCCATGCAGTGAATGACCATGGCGTTCTACGTGTCTGGTCATGCTCTCAGCGATTCACACCACTGTGCTGTCTTCGCCTTTTGTCCGTTGACTAAGTAGTGATTCTTCCACACAATTTGCCGGATTCAGTCTTTACATGCTATGGGGGACAAGCCCCTTTTTTCCGAAAGTTCTATGCCTTTCGGCTACCCTCGACCTGGAATCATTGTCTGGGTTGTGGTCGCTGTGCATATTACAGCTTTTTGGAACCACAGGTGAGAGCTGAGTACAGAGACTTCCAGCATATGTGTACTCCCTTTTTGTTTTTGGTGGCAGGTCACTTGTCATTGTCTGTCATGTCGTATTGTGTTTATTTTATGCAAATCATGATATGATTATGTCATACATGATAGCCTAACATTGTTCTTTAAGCCGGGGAAACATGTGAAACTTGCAATAAGTACGTAGAAAAAAAAAAGACGTCATGGGAGAGGACAGCGGGATGACGCAATAGTTGAGCTAAGCGTTTATTATATATTTTCTTATACTTGTGTTTTCTTTAGCTTGTACTGTTCGCTGAAGAAGGCGTCTTGCAGGCACGTTCGTTATTTTGTTATGTCCTTCTATTTTTCAGGTTCATCCCTACCCTGTTTCACATATTTCCTTCTAACTAGGATGACTGCAATCTCTTCGCACCTTATCACCTTCTTTAAATAAACCAATAGTGAAAGTGTATATCTTTAAAAAAAATAATCTCTGTTCCTTATTTGAAAGATTGAATATTCTACTCGACACTTGAGAATTAATTCACTGTCCACTGAATTTAGTTTCAATAGAGAATGAAACCAAAATGATAAGGTCAGCGGTTTTTTTTCCTCGGTTTTTTAAGTAGTTATAAAGCTATTTAAAATGGAGACACACAAAACAAACGATGTGCCTGCGTGACTAAAAAAAAAAAAAAAAAAATGTTCTAGTCCAAATTGTAAATCATTAAGTGACTCCGACGTGTAGTAAATGAGATAAACTTGAATGCATTTCCAAATTTAGTTTCAATAGAGAATGAAACCAAAATGATAAGGTCAGCGGTTTTTTTTCCTCGGTTTTTTAAGTAGTTATAAAGCTATTTAAAAAGGAGACACACAAAACAAACGATGTGCCTGCGTGACTAAAAAAAAAAAAAAAAAATGTTCTAGTCCAAATTGTAAATCATTAAGTGACTCCGACGTGTAGTAAATGAGATAAACTTGAATGCATTTCCTCAAGTCGTGTCATTCATTCTTACCCAATTTAGAAAAGCACAGACCGTCTCCCAGTACGAACGATTAAATCTGATATTTAAAGGCGCCTACAATCTTTATTCCGTCAACGATTATATGATGGTGGATGGCCGTCCTTCCATTCAGCTGGAGAAATAATTACGTTACGTTTGTGAACGGTGGAAGGGAAACACAAATCATAGGAGTTTATAAAGAAAAACCAATACTCCCATTAGATCACCGTCTTAATGATTTGTTCCACGAGTGTGTGCTTTTTGAGTTGTGTTTTTTTTGTTTGTAAGACTTGTTTATATTAGTGAACGTATTTGGGTTTGAGGTTCACTGTGCAGCGGTTGCTTTCTCTTTTTTTTCGGATTGGTTGACGTTTCTGGGCACGAGAGACTGGTGACGTTGTTTGTGGTTATGGATAAGCAGTTAGTAATTAGAGTGAGGGCTCAAGGAAGAAGCTACGTAGATCAGTAGTGGATAAGGAACTCTATTGAGCATTAAACATGCTGTTGCTGCTGCGTTTAAATGTGAGGAGAGTTATGACCCCGAGACTACAATCAAATGGTCCATCGAACTGCCTGCTACACTCCCCATATCTTCCCTCAGACTTTGAGCATCTAATTTAATTCAAACATCAAGTTACAGACATTTTTGGAAGTTTGTATTGATCAAAAGAGGGAATAGTTCTTATATAAAAGATATTCGTAATCAGCTTACAAATATAAAAAATCATCTTGAAAACCATAAGAAAACCATAAGAAAACCATAAGAAAACCATAAGAGATTCGTTAGGTTTCAAGGTGAAAAATAAAATTCTCATTAAAATAATGTACAGCGAAAAGCATTAATTTAAATCAGGCAAAGATGGGGAGTTAAGTTTCGCGTACCTTTCTATCATTGTCAGACGTAGGCATGAAATCTAAGAAGAAGGTATGCTAAACTTGAATTCATTAACAGGACAAAAGATTGTGACGTTTAAATCAATTACATCTTTTATTCTCAGACGCAGGCAATAGGTCAGAGGTTAAGTTTCCATGTACCTTTTTAAAAATGTCAGACATAAGCAATAGGTTAGAGGTTTAATTTCCATGCACCATTTTACAATTGTTAGACGTAATCAATAGGCCAGGGTTTAAGTTTCCATGCACACCTTTTCAAAATTGTTAGACGTAGGCAATAGGTCAGGGGTTAAGTTTCTCTGCACATGTTTTAGAATTGTAAGACGTAGGCAATAGGTCAGGGTTTAAGTTTCTAAGCACACATTTTTTACAACTGTCAGACGTAGGCAATAGGTCAGGGGTTAAGTTTCCATGCACACATTTTTTACAACTGTCAGACGTAGGCAATAGGTCAGGGGTTACGTTTCCATGCACACATTTTTTACAACTGTCAGACGTAGGCAATAGGTCAGGGGTTAAGTTTCCATGCACACATTTTTTACAACTGTCAGACGTAGGCAATAGGTCAGGGGTTAAGTTTCCATGCACACCTTTTTACAACTGTTAGACGTATCGATCTTGATAGGTGTGTGGTCACACGTTTTCCCAGCTAGTGCGAAGTCCCCATTCATGTTAATGGTTTCAACACAACCAAGGCAAAGAGACACACACGAGCTCACCCGCCCACACACACACATAAACACACACACACATAGAAACATCCACACATGCATCCACACACCTAAACACACACGCAAACACGCACATACACAAAGGTTCATCAGAATATAAATTAAATGAATGAAAAAAAAAAAAACCACGACATCTTTGTCTCCGATATCTTCCCTGGTGTGCGACATTGCTGTTTACAAACGGTTATCACCGCCTACTCGGTGCCGGATCACCCCATTAGAATCTCGAGGGGGTGCCGAAGTTCGCAGGAGTGCCGGCGGAGTAGAAAGCTGTTCCGGCGACTTCAGATCAAACATCCCCACCGACTTCAGCCCGGGCTGGAGTATCGACCACCGGGCCGTCACGCAAAAGGATCCACAGATTGAGTAATCGCTGTGTTATTATTGCGCGCCTGTTCCAAATAGGAACGCCATCTCGAACGGGGCGCATCATCAATATCCGGTTATTAAAAAAA